TGCCGAGGGCCATGGGGCAGGCCCTCGGCAAAGAGCCCTCGGCAATTTTTTTTTGGTTTTTTTAGCCTAGTTTTTTTGTGGTGCTACAATACATTGTTTTGAACTCAATTTTAAAATTTAGGCCAATTTTGATTTTGTTTTGTATATTTTCTTAATTTATTTCGATTCTTTGATTTTCTTTTCGAATATGTCAAATTTGAACTGCAGGTGCATGGAATATTGCAATGTAGTGTTTCGAAAAATGTTATTCATGTTAATTGGTGCATGTTGAGTCCCTATCCACGACCTCGCATCAAATTTTCACGCATCTTGTTCGCGTAACATGACGACCGACTTACTGGAAAAATGTTTTAAAATTATATAAAATCCATACGAAGTCCGAAAATCACGAAACTTGGCGAGATGTCATGTTATCGCATGTGTAGGCTGTGGTAAAAAATTGAGAAGGCTTCGAGCGAGTTGCGACGTCGGATGTCTGAAACCCAGACATCTCCACATGTTTGTCCGAAGGGGTGCGTCCTATTTAGGAAAGAACACAAGTATGCAAATTACTATCCGAAGTGTAAATCCTCCAGGTACCTGGAGGTAGACTCTGGTGATGGTTAGAAGAAGCAGCTTTTGATCCCCGCGAGAGTGCTACGTCACCTTCCTTTCCTACCGAGGATCCAACGGCTATTCATGACTGAGAAATCCGCGAAACAGATGACATGGCACAAAGATGGCAAACGGTACAATCCTGGGAAGATGGTACATCCGTCTGATGCTGAAGCATAGACGTATTTCAATGACAAACATCGTGACAAAGCAGCTGAGGCTCGTAATGTACGTGTCGCGCTGGCAACAGATGTGTTCAATCTTTATGGAATGATGATCGCCCCATACACATCTTTGGCCCATTTTTGTTATCCCCTCAATCTTCCTCCCGACATCTCCTTTCAACGGCATAACGTATTCTTGTCGTTGATAATTTCTCGACACCCGGGAGTAATATGGGTGTGTTCATAGAGCCTATGTGATGAATTGATCCACGCTTGGGAGAGGGGGTATGGACATACGATCGAGCTACAAAGATAAGCTTTAAAATGCACGCGTTTGGTACCAATACTCCCGCATGACTTCGGCGGCGATGGGTTATTCGCCGCCTGGTGTGTTCACGGGAAGTTCCCATGCCCAGTATGCAAGGAAGCCGTGAGGTTCATTTGGTTGAAGAAGGGTGGCAAGTATTCGTCGTTCGACCAAAGATCGTCTGGTTCCTCCTCTAAACCATGAATTTAGAGAAGACATCAAGAGCTTTACGAAAGGTGTCAAAGTGATGCAGACCCTAAACCGCACTTGAGGATCTGGTGCCGAGGTTCGTGTTCGGGATAGATGCTCTCGTGCCCAATGAAGAAGGTGGTTTTGTGGGATATGGTGAGGAACATATGTGGACTCATAAATCCGGCTTGACGAGGCTCCCCTATTTCGATGACCTTCTTCTGCCACATAACATTGATGTAATGCACACTGAAAAGAATATCGCCGAGGCACTTTGGGGAACTCTCATGGACACTGACAAGTCTAAGGACAACGTTAAGGCTAGAGTGGACCTAGCAACGTTGTGCGATAGACCGAATCAAGCGATGCAACCTCCTAGTGGCCAAAACAAGAACTGGAAAAGGCCTAAGGTCAATTTCGTCTTGCAAATCGATCAAAGGAGGGAGGTACTAAAATGGATGCAGATGTTAATGTTTCCAGATGGATATGCAACGAATCTTAGCAGGGGAGTGAACTTAGGCACTCTGCGAGTCAACAGGATAAAGAGTCATGACTACCACATATGAATTGAGCGGCTTCTTCCGGCGATGGTCCGAGGCTATGTCCCTGAGCATGTCTGGCAAGTGTTGGCAGAGTTGAGCTTTTTCTTCCGCTAGCTTTGTGCCAAGGAGATATCTCGGATTGTCGCTCAGGACTTAGAAAAGGCACCTGTGTTGCTCTGTAAGCTGGAGAAGATCTTTCCACCCGGCTTCTTCTTGCCGATGCAACATCTGATTGTGCACCTCCCGTCCGAGGCACGTTTGGGGGGGCCCGTGCAGGCCCGTTGGTGCTATCCAATCGAGAGATGTCTAAAGACTCTTCACAAAAAATATACAAATAAAGCCAGAATTGAGGCTTCCATTGCAGAGGCATGCCTTCGGGAGGAGGTGGCAAACTTCACAACGCTATACTACAAGCCGAACCTTCCTAGCAATCATAATCCACCCTTTCGTTACAATACTGATGAAAATGAATCGACCCTGAGCCTTTTCCAAGGCCAACTCGGCAGCGCAAGTGGATCAACCCAAAGCTATTGGGAAATAAAGAGTGGCGCAGTATCATGCTATATGTGTTGAATAACCTTACCGAGGTGCAGCCATTCATCAAGTAAGTTCTCAACGAACTTATTTCAATATGCCGTCACTATTCTGCATCCAACCCCATTGATTCTCGTTCGGACAGGGAATTTGTTCCTCTGTCTCCTTCGACCCGGCTGCCCCGCCCCAGGTGTACTCCGACCCGAACATGTACACTAAAGTCCAAGAGTACACGTCAATGGTAAGGCAGATCTATGGGGAAGATTACAATGTGCGCACTGAGCCCATTGATGCAGAGGCGATCATGAGGCTCGGAGGAGGCAAGAAGCACGGGCGGCTGTGGATTGTAGACGGCGCCATCGACTCCACCACTGTTCCCTCTCTCGACGCTATTCGAGCACAGAGCACGAGCTCCAGCCAGCCCATACGTCCACGGCCTTCTCCAGCACTGCAACAGGTTCAAGCACTCCAGGTAATTCCTGTTTTACTCATCGTACGTAGATATTTACACACCTAAATTAGATTTGCATTACTGATACATTGGAGTGAAATATTGCAGGTCGAGCTGCAAGAAACAAAAAGGCAAAGTCAAGAGCAGAACGCGGAGCTGACCGCACAGCTGCAGGCCCAGAAGGTCGCGTTCGAGGCCGCGCAGAAGTAGATGGCAAAGATGATGGTGATCATGCAAAGTCTTGGGCAAGCATCGGGTGTACCTGTGCAGTTTTCAGCTCCTCCACCTCCTACTCCTGCAGCTACTCCTGTAAGTATGAAAGTTCACTTTTCACTTGTGCTTTGCATGTATGTCGGCCTTCGTGCCGTTGTGGATGTCGGCGTTCGTGCCGTTGTGGATTTCGGCGTTCGTGCCATCGTTTCTTGCAGGTTTTGGAAATCTCCCCGTGCAGGGGAGGTGCTGCCAAAATTTTCAATTGAGTCTAATATTTTTGTATTCCTATAATATTAGATGCAATCTCTAAATTCCAAAACTGTTTTCCCGGATTACTCACACATGCAATCTCTGCTCCTTTGTGCAGCTTCCGTCCGCGGGTTCCAATCAACCCGCTAGTGCGTCACCGGGTGATCCTGTTTTTCCTTCACCATCGTCTCATAGGCTAGCTTGATGAGGACTCGTGCTAGGTGATGTGGTTGGACTTTAGCGTGATTTGTGATTTATGGTTGTGACTTGTGCTTGGATTTCATTAACTTGTCGTAATAAACATGTGAATGATGATGAACATGTGACTTGTCGTTGTAATATATTGTGATTTGTGGTTCACAATTATGGTTGTGATATATTGTGAGAAAATGGGTTCCGTGTGATATATATATGTATATATATGAAATGCTTGTGACGATGGAATGCAAAAAACAAAAAAAAAATTAAATTTCTGCCTCTTTGCCGAGGGCAATGACCAAGGCCCTCGGCAAACAAGGGTCCTTTGCCGAGGGCCCAAGCAATAGCCCTCGGCAAAGATTTTTTTGGAAAAAAATCCTGACAATTTCTTTGCCGAGGGCCAGGAAGCAGGCCCTCGGCAAAGGGTTAAAAAAATTCAAAAAAACCATTTCTTTGCCGAGGGCCGGCCCTCGGCAAAGAATTTTTAAAAAATCCTGAAAATTTCTTTGCCGAGGGCCAGGGAGGAGGCCCTCGGCAAAGGTTTTTTTTAAAAAAAATAAAAAAAATTATTTGCCGAGGATCGGCCCTCGGCAAACAAATTCAAAAAAAAACCATTTCTTTGCCGAGGGTGGGCCCTCGGCAAAGAAACCGCCAACGGCGTCGGCGACTGACGGCCTCTTTTCTTTGCCGAGGGTTGCTCTCGGCAAAGACCCCTCGGGGAATTTTTAGACGGCGAAGGGGTCTCGGCAAAGCCTTTGCCGAGGGTTTCTGGGCCGGCCCTCGGCGAAGCATGCGCCTCCAGTAGTGGAAGGAGTGCCCGTGAAGGTAGCTACTAGGTGGGCAATTGACACTGCATTTGACCTCTGGCAGTTTGCCCATCCGATCAAAGTCCCAACAGCTCCGGTGAGCAATCAAAGGTCCTGTCAAGCACCGGAGCGAGAGTGGATTAAGTGCAATGTCTATGCTGCTTTCCATGCTGAGAATGGGACGGCGTCGTCAGGAGTGGTTCTGCGAGATCATGAAGGAAGAACATGTGGAGGCAGAGCGAGTTGGTATGAACATTGCCTCAATGCTTTAACTGCGGAAGTTGTGGCATGCCGGGATGGCCTGCTATATGCATTGGAGAGGGGAGCGCGGAGGCTGAAGATGGAGTCTGACTGCCAGGTGCTGGTCCGGCTGTGGACTAACCGAGCAAACCAAAAATCGGAAGTCGATTACTTGCTGAAGCAGATGGAAGACATCAGCCGGAGCTTCGAATCTTTTGATTTATCGTTCATTAGTAGAGATTGTAATAGATTAGCTCATGAATGTGCTCGTCTAGTTTCTCATGAAAACCGGGTGGAGGAGTGGCTTATAATCCCACCAGGGCTTAGGGAGATCGTAGAAATGGATTGTAATCTGGTTCATGGCTAATATATGAAGGGCAAGATGCCCCTACTGAAGATTTAAATTAAATTGAAGAGTCAAATACAAATACGTACGGCGAAAATAAAACAGGATAAGAGCCAAAGGCAAGCTGGACGAAACGGGACTAAACCCAGGAGTAGTTGTCAAGTCTATCAGGCGAAGGAGATGGAGACGGGGCTCCTCACGGTGTGCTTGTCAGACACCCACCGGAGCGAGCCCTCCACAATCTTGGCGTCAGTGCTCTGCCCCCGCCACACGGAGACCGTGAAGTTCTGGGCCTGGTTCGCCTCGGTGAACTGCAGCGAGCTCGGAGTGACCTTCACCTGCACAGAGGCTGGCAGGTCGACGTGCGGGTAGTACACCGCCGGCGCCTCCCCGACATTCTTCACCGTGCGGCTCACCACGACCGGAGCCGTGGGGTTCGTCGTGGACGGGAGCATGACCGTGATGGATGGGTAGTTGAGCATGCGGTCCGGGATCACCGTGATGGTCGAGCAGTCGATCGAGCGGCGCGCGATCACGGACACCTCCTTGCTCGTGTACATGCCGCAGAGGAAGCCGATGTACTCGGCGGGCGCGATGTCGTAGACGAGGCCAGGATCGAGGGCCTTGTCGGGGTTCACCTGGCCGGCGCCTGTGGCGAACAAGTTGGCCGGCACGTACTGCTCGTCCACTATTGGTTTCCCCGATCTGTCGTCGGGGTCAGCGGTCGTCATGATGGCGGACTTGATCGCTGACGGCGACCAGTCCGGGTACTTACTCTTGATCAGCGCGGCGATGCCGCTGAGGTGCGGCGTGGACATGGACGTGCCGGATTCCAAGTTGAACGTCGGCTCTGTGGACGGAGGGCCAACCCGGAATGGCCACGCCGCGAGCACGCTCACGCCGGGGCCAGTGATGTCAGGCTTCAGGATGCCGGGGTTCTGGATGCTGGGCCCGCGCGAGGAGAACGAGGTGATAGCCGGTGCCGGCGACGTGCCAAGCACGGTGCCCTTGAAGATGATCTGCGCCACCGGGTTCGCCGTGGAGTTGATGTACTCCTTGATGGCAACGCCGGCGACGTAGCTGACGTGCGAGGCAGGGAGCACGTGCGCGTCGGCGAGGGTGCTGTATCCGTCGGCGAACTGGTTCGCCATAATCATGCCGAACCCACCGGCTCTCTTCACCTCGGCACCTTTGGCAAGCCTTGCGACGATGCCACGGTCGCAGAGCACGATCTTGCCTTTGACATCGAAGCCGTCCAGTGAACCGTTGCCGCAGAAACTGGCGTTGGGTGTTGAGCTGGCGCCCGCGTAGACCAACGGGTAGGTGACGGTCGTCGAGATGTTGGGCTGGAAAGCCGACTCGCCATCGAACGTCGAGCCGTTTCCGAGGCGCACCTGGGCAGCGATCAGACGGTCCATGGTGCCCGCCGCGACGGTGAGCATCCACGGCGCGTCGTTGGACAGCGTGCTATCCGTTGGGCCGTCGTTGCCAGCCGCCAAGCTGACAAAGACGCCCTTCTCAACGGCCGCAAATGTGCCAATGGCGAGGTTGTCTTCGTAGAACGGCAGCGTCGGCCCGCCAAGGGACATGGAGATAACGTCACAGCCATCACCGACGGCCGCGTCGATGCCGGCGAGGATGTCGGCACTGGTGCACTCGTTGCCACACACCTTGTACATGGCGACGTGCGCGCGTGGCGCCATGCCGGAGGCAGTGCCGGCGGCCTGGCCGAGCACCTGTGCGCCCGGCACGACGGCTCCCGCCGCGGTGCTCGACGTGTGCGTGCCGTGCCCGTCCTGGTCGAGCGGGGACGGGTCCGACTCGAAAGAACGTGCGCCGATGAGCTTGTTGTTGCACGCCGAGGCGTTGAAGTCGCAGCGGCCCTTCCACTTGGCCGGCGGCGGCGGCATGCCGTAGCCGCTGAAGGAGGGGTGGAAGGGATAGACGCCGCTGTCGAGCACGCCGATGATGACGCCCTCGCCGAACTCGGAGGTGTAGTTCCTCCCCCTCTGCGGCAGCTCCAGTCCAAGGAACTGCGGCGTGTGTGTCGTCAGCAGCCGGTACACATGGTTCGGCACCGCCGTGACGAACCCGGGCATGGCGGACAGCGCGTCGAGTTCCTGCTCCGTCAGCCGAGCGGCGAAGCCGCTCGCGACGTGGTGGTACGAGTGGACGAGCCGCTCGTCCTCTGGAAGGAACGTCTTGTACCAAGTTGTTCGGTCGTCGGTCGTGCCGAACACGTGGCTCTCGTGCGGCTGCACGTGAACGATGAACGTACGGAGCTCATCGCCGGTCACGGCGGCGACGACTGCAAGGAGAAGGATGGGGAGCAACGGGAGGTTGAAGCTTCCCATGGCTGGCTTGCTGTGAGCTAGTGTGTGAGCGTGCATGGACTTTTTATAAGACCTACGTGCTCGTATGCTCCATTATTAAAGGTTCCATATGCGTTAGATTAGCGTTCTTGTCGCTGTCAAGGAAAGCCGCAGACGGACGGCATTGTTCTGGCCAAGGCACGGAGATTCGGAGCCGTGCCAATGTTGGGAGATGTTTGCAAGGACCGGACTGAGTTTACGATACGGACGTGTACTGGTTGCTTGGGAATTGCCGTCTCGCGTTAGAGAGGAGACGACTGTTTGCGCGCGGCAGACGCGCGCCTGAATTGTTGTCTGTGGATAGCGCAAAGCTAGGGCAACAGATAAATTCCTGGGGAATCACGGCTCTTGACGCCGGTCCGAGAGCAAGTGTCATATACCGTGTCACTTGTGTCATTGTGTGCCTCGGCGTTTCCTCGATTGCAAAAACGAGCGATGAAATCGGGACGGAGATCGCAACTGCATTCCAACACAAAAGGGATGATGATTTGGTATGTACTGCTAGTTGTTGCCAGTGTTGTTTTGCTGGTATTTTCGGACAGGCAACTTGCTAGTAATGTTGTTTCGGTTGTGAGAAATATTACACGTCAAATCAAGAATTAAAAAAAGCATAAAACGCAATACTTATCGATTTCTAATTGTGTACAACTTGAGAACATCTCCTCTAACGGTATGGAGAGTCCATTCTAGAGTTAATTTCAGTGTCATTGCACGAATTATGTGGTGTTTGGTCTGATGAACCATCTCATTCTAGATGAAGATGGTGTGTCATGAGTCCATCTATGAAAATTTAATGGAATGACTTCATTTCTAATGCTTATACTAATTATTAACTTGTAGAAGATAATGTAGCAACTGAAGAACACATTTTATCCCCCAAACAAAAAAAAAAAGATATGAGATAAGATGATGAACTACCCAAATTTTCAAACCAAACACCCAACAACAAGGTACCGATTACAGATGCACGTTTAGGATATTATTATGGAAATAAAATTAATAAAAAAACACCTATCCCTACCGATGTACATTTTAGCTAGGTTATTCTAGATATATTTTTTAAAAAAGAATCTTGTCGATGTAGTATTATTCTGTAAGTCATACAGAAGCTAGAGAAAATTTCCTACATGGCCCTCACAGTCTTCCCTCCTTGGTCTTGGAACTATTAAACAAAGCGCCAGGAGCAAAATGACAAATTAGAGCCTCCTGCAACAGTATAATTGGACAAGATTTAGTAAAAAGCATCAATTGTTTTAAGATAATTTAAACCGTTAAATGCCACTTTCTAACTCAGGTAGGTAGGGAGATAATTTAAATGATTTTAACAGTTGAGGGAGGCAAGTTACCTAGTTTTAGAGTTCGGAGAGAAAACCTTGAGTAAACCCAATATTCAAGGAGGCTATAAAAGGATTGTTCCTTCTTTCAACTAAGGGCAATTTTGGAATAAAGGATTTTCATAGGAAAAACATAGGATCCTCCGTCCAATAGAATTTGTTATTGTAGCACCCTTTGGAACATAGGATTGTGCCATAGGAAAAATAAAAGAAACTTTCCTTTGGGTGTGATTTTACAGGAATTTTGTAGGATCCAAAACATCCACTACAAGCTCATGTTTTTCATTCTTGTGTTTTTCCTATGAACCATCCAAACATCAATTCCTATGACTTTCTTTTGTTTTACAATTCTCTGTTTTGCATATGCAATCCTATCATATTCCTGTATTTTTTTCTATTCCTATATTCTTTCAATCATGCGCTCCGAAGGAGCTCTAAGTGTTTTCAATAGCTAGGTGGGCTTCTTCTTGAGCTGCACCTATTATGGGCTTAGAGGCTCAGTTAGGTATAAGTGTCCATACTTTTGGACTTCTTTCTATTTTCTTAAAGCTAAATCTATTTTTGAAGCTTCTAGATATATTTTTATGAATTACAAATATTTTATTTGAGTTTATTTACATGACCCCTGCCTACCTATATGATTTTTCTCGAACTTTAGAAACTTAAAAATATTTTTCATGATTTAAAAACTTCATTAGGCGTTCATAGAAAATTTTTAATTAAAAATAATAAAACCATCTAACTTAGGTACAGTTTATAGTTCAAGACGGCTAAGATCCACTCTACACATTGAATGGACCACACTGTTAATTAACTCTCTTACGCTTTTTATCTTCACTTCACGTAAAAAAGTTCGAACCGAGTTAATTCTCTTCCGTGCTCAGTCTTTTAAGTTGGTTCAGTTTCTCCTCGGGTTCCGGCAGGGGACTAAAGTCCTGCAGATACAGTGCTCCACTGCTACAGTACTTGGAAACCGGAGCTACAGTGCCATTCGGCCCAGCCCATCAGACCGGCCTAACTTGCCCATTTTAGGGGGTCTCACAGTCGCGTCGTCGTCAAATATGTCAACCGCCGCGTAGTACACCGACGGCACCTCCCCGACGTTCTTCACCGTGCGCTCAACGACCGCGGGCGTGCTCCGATTCCACGTCTGCTGGAACGCGACAGAGATGGACGGGTAATTCAGCATGCTCTCCGGGATCACCGTGACGGCCGAGCAGTCGACCGGCCTTCTCGCGATCACCGACACGTTCTGGCTGTCGTACAGGCCGCAGAGGTAGCCGATGTAGTCGCTGGCCGCGATATCGTAGACCAGGCCGGGGTCCGCGGCCTTCTCAGGGTCCCGCCGGCACACGCTGTTCGTTGAGGATGGGATTGCCGGCACGGTCGGTGGCATCCGCGGTGGTCATGATGGCCGACTTGATAGCGGCAGGTGACCAGTGAGGGTGCTTGCTCTTGACGAGCGCCACGACGCCGCTGAGGTGAGGCGCCGACGGCCACGTGCCGGAGATGACGTTGAAGGTCGGTCCAGGGAGAACAGGTGCCGACGGCGGGCCAACCTGGAACGGCCATGCGGCGAGCACGTTGACGCCGGGGCCCATGATGTCGGGCTTCAGAATGCCGGGGTTCTCAATGCTAGGCCCACGAGAGGAGAAGGCGGCGATGGATGGAGCAGGTGGCGTGCCGAGGATTGTACCCTCAAAGATGATCTGCGCCGTGGCGTTCGACGTGGAATTGACGTAGGACTTGATGGCTGAAGCGGCGGCGTAGTCGACGTGCAACGCCGGCAGGACGTGTGCGTCGGCGAGCGTGTTGTAGCCTTGAGGAAATGTGTTGAGCAGTATCATGCCGGCGCCGCCGGCACTTTGGACCACCGCGCCTTTCAGTATCCTCGTGATGTTGTGTCCCGGCCCGCCCCCCAGTTCGCAGAGCACGATCTTGCCCCTGACGTCCATGCCGTCCAGCGAGCCGTTGCCGCAGAGCTCGGCGTACGGCTTCCCGCTCGCGCCAGCGTAGACCAACGGGTAGAAGGTGGAGTTCCAAGCCTGTGGCTGGTAGAGCGACTCGCCGTGGAAGACGAAGCCGTTCCCCAGGCGGACCGTCGAACGAATGGAGCGGTCCATCGTGCTGCAGCGACGGTGAGCATCCACGGCGCCTCGTTTGTCACAGAGCTGACGTTCGGGCCAGAGTTGCCGGCCGACATGGTAACGGAGACTCCCCTTCTCGATCGCGCCGAACGTCGCGATGGCGACGCTGTCCTGGTAGAACGGCGTCGAAGATCCACCGAGGGACATGGAGATGATGTCGCAGCCGTCACCCACGGCGGCGTCCACAGCGGCGAGGATGGCAGAACCCGGGCATCCCGTCTTGTTGCAGACCTTGTACATCGCGACGTGCGCGCGGGGCGCTATCCCGGTGGCGGTACCCATGGCCTGGCCAAGAGCCTGAGCGCCTGGCACGGCGGCTCCCGCGGCCGTGCTGGCAGTGTGCGTGCCGTGCCCTTCGTCCTCGACCGGCGGCGCCCGCCAGTCATCGGAAGTGGAGTTGGTCGTGGCGTTAGGGCTGGGCACGAAAGAGCGGGCGCCGATGAGCTTGTTGTTGCGCACCGCGCGGCCATTGAAGTCGCAGCACCCATTCCACCTGGCCGGCGGCGGCGGCATGCCGTCATCGCTGAAGGAGGGGTGCGACGGTACGATGCCGGTGTCGAGCACGCCGATGATGACCCCAGCGCCGTGTTCGGCAACGGGGTAGGACCTCTTGGCCTCCCGGGCGCCCAGCCCGAGGAACTGAGGCGTGTGCGTCGTGTGCAGCTCGTACATCTGGTCCGGGACCGCCGTCACGAACCTGGGCGTCGACGACAGAGCGTCGACCTCATTACAAAATTCCAAATCACACGTAAGCACAATCAACTAAGCATTAAAGTTCACACGACACACAAACTTGACTCGACTCAACATTGACTCACGCTACTAGGCCACGATGCCGCTGGCGACGTGGTGGTACGCGTGGACGAGCCGCGGAGCCGGCCGTCCTCCGGGAGGAGCGACCTGTACCACGTGTTCCGGTCGTCGGCGGTAGCGAGCATCTGGTTCTTCTGGGGCTGCACATGGACGATGAACGTGGTGAGCTCATCGCCGGCGACCACGGCAACGGCAGCAAGGAGAAGGAACGTCAACACAAGGGTCAGCGAGGAGAGCTTGAAGCTTTCCATGGCTGCCTTTTGTCCTGAGGTTCTTGTGTGTGTTTCCATGCATCGAATTTATAGCGTACTTAGCCTGCCTGCGTACTCTATGGAATATTGGAATTGCCAGATAGTCCCGTTTGGTATGGATTCCGCTGGATCCGGCTCCTACTGACACTACACTGTAGACCCACTGTAGACGAAAGCCTTTCTCTCTCCTCTTCTAACTGACACGCAAGGAGCTGCTGGAGCCAAAATTTTTAGCTTCACTAGCTCTCGAGAGGGAGAGGGAAGGGAGGAAATCAGCTCTAGGGAACAGAAGCGCTACAGTGAATTGCAGTGGGAGGTCTTCTCTGCTTGGGCTTCGACAATATTCCGAAACTTTTGCCCTCTGAACATGGAAGTATTCAGCAGTTTTTGTTTTCCTTGGGCACGTACAGGCTAGCAAGTGCCTTTGACGGCGACAGGCGGTTCTACATACTTGTTCCTTTTGAGCCCTGAAAAACCAGACATGTAAGTGCAAACCAGGCGGCTTCGTAAACATCGGAAAGGTGTAAAAACTTAGCATATGATACTAGTCGGCTGTCCGTTCCTCCCAACGCCACCTTCGAATGTGCCGCCGCGGGCCGCCCCCGCCACCACCAATACCTGCCAGCCTTAGAAAGGGAGGGGCCCAGGGCGGGCGACCATACAGGCGGTGGCGACCGAGCAGGCGGGGCCTAATAACCGGTTGGCGGTCACTACTATAGAAAAACTTTCACGCAGCGTTTGGCTTTGGAGCTCCGAGGCGGGAGGGTTGGTTGCCCGCCTCCGTTATTCGGTGGCAGGGCAGCCGGTCTAGTGCCCGCCTCAGTTAATCATTAATGGAGGTGGACAACCTTAAGCGCCCGTCTCGATTAATATTGATTAACCGAGATGGACATTCTAACACAACCGCCTCCATTAATCATTAATGGAGGCAGGCAACCTTAAGCGCCCGTCTTGGTTAATATCGATTACCGAGACGGGCATCCTAACGCAATCTCCTCGGTAAATCATTTATAGAGGCGGACAGTTATAAGGTGTCCGCCTCCAAAAATCAGGCCTAGCCTGCTAGCCCACACCATCCCACTACCATCTTTATTATATAAATGAAATCAGAAACCCTAAACACTCCACTCTCCCTCTCCTTTCTCTCCCTCGCCGTGCTGCTCCTCTCTTTCTGCACTGCGCCCTTCTCCCGCAACGGCGAGCTCGGCACCGCGTCCTTCCCTCTCCCTTCTCTCTCTTCGGGGGCGTCGGGCCACTTCTACGGCAGCGGATCCGACACCACGGAGCACCACCGAGCGCAGATCCAGGCATCGACGCGGGGTGGATCCAAGTGGCGCGGGGTCCCCCAACGGCAGCTCGGATAGGAGCTAGGTGGTGCGGGCCCCCTGATGGCGGTGGATCTGGCGGCTGGTGAATGGTCCTAATGGCTAGAGAGGGGTGAATAGCCTATTAAAAATTTCTACAACAACACTTAATCCAAGTGGTTAGCCAATTAAACGGCGAAGCGAGTGTTGCGCTAGCCTACTAAAAAGCAAGCCTCCTATCCACGATTCTAGGTACTATGATCTCTAATTCACACAAGAGGCCAAGTCACTACTCTCTAAGTTAGTGAGCTCTCAAAGACTAACTAAAGAGCCTCACTAACCACTAGACAAGACACAAGCTAGCTCTCAAAACTAATTACACTAAAGAGCTTATCTACACTAAGAAAGTAAAAACACAAGAGAGGTAGTGAGTTATACCGCCATGGCAAGAGATGATGAATCGATTACAATGAATACCAATGAAATCATCGAAGACAAGATGACACAATGATTTTTCACCGAGGTTCACTTGCTTGCCGGCAAGCTGATCCCCGTTGTAGCGATTCACCCACTTGGAGGTTCACGCGCTAATAGGCATCACATGTCTAACCCGCAATCGGGTGTCGCACAACCAACACAAGATGGGGATCCACAAGCTACAAAGCAATCCACTAGAGTACCTTTTGGCTCTCCGCCGGGGAAAGATCAAGAACCCCTCACAATCACCATGATTGGAGCCGGAGACAATCACCTTCCTCCGCTCGACGATCCCATCGCACCAAGCCGTCTAGTTGGCGGCAACCACCAAGAGTAACAAGCGAAATCCACAGCGAAACACAATCACCAAGTGCCTCTAGATGCAATCACTCAAAGCAATGTACTTGTATGCTCTCTAATCTCACCAAATGATGAATCAATCAAGTAGGAGTGGATGGAGAGGAGTAGCTCAACTCTAAAGGATGAGAAGTACGTCAAAGTACCAAGAGAGGGCGCCCAAGGCCAGCCCTTTTGCTTAAATAGACACGCCCAAGAGCTCATGACCGTTAGACCACTTAAGTGATCATCGGACCCACAGACATAGGGCATCGGACCATCTGACGCCTGGGTTCAACGCCTTCGACGGCCAACCACACGCTGCCATGTAACCGCGTTCAAACGGAATTGACCGTTGCCGCGCAAACGGTCACTGACAGGCTGAAAACATCGTCGTCGGACTCAGCTTCGGACTCACCGTCAGACTCCACACAGGGAGACTCCACAAATTAAAGAAGAATAACAAGCACAATGCTTTATTACATCACGAGTATTTAATCCATTACATAAATATATCAAAGTCTAGCAAGCGGAAATAAATAAAGATAACTCCTTGACGCCTCCATATCCCATGAGGATGATCATTGTTTGATCACATGTCTAGTAATTCTCAGGAAAATCCTCATAACCTTTGTCATCTGTTACCCATCCGGATTTTTATCCAAGTAATAAAATAAACAAGCGTAAGTACATCTCGTACTCAACAAGAATAACACGGGGTTCATGAGGCTCAAAAAGATAGATACTGGTTTAACTGCATTTAGCTTTTATTGAGTCACAATTTTAAGCAATTGAGTAGTAGCAAGTTTAACATAAATCCAAATAAACACATGATCAGGTAAACATGAATAATGAATAGCATAAACATAATTATCATTAGTGATCATCTATTCCATAAGGGTCCAAGGCTGCTCGTGACCATGAACATGACTGATATACCAGTTTTACACTCCATAGAGGTTGTACACTTTCACCGTGAGTCGTGATTCCCATTTGCCTAGGGTCATGACTCCCATAACACTTCCAAGATGAGCGGGCAGGGTACACTATAAAGTCTTTTAGAAGTTCATCTAACAAGTTAGGGCTGCTAGGTTTCCAATTGGCAAGGGAATATAGAGCCCCCTTCCGAATGGCACATTCCACGTAGGCTATACACATAAGGACAGAGGCCGCACTATACTCAGCTCGACAAGCCCCTTTTGCGCCCTTTCAGATAACCACTGACAAGCTAGAAAAGGTCTTCATACTGAACTAAAGCCAAAGCCAAGTAGCTCTCATGGTTGTACTGTAGGTCCCGGATGATCGCTTACAGATAAGTCCTTAATGAGAGGAATCTAGAGCATCGCAAAAACTATGCTCTAGCACCTTGTTCCTAAAAAGCATCTTTTAATGTTTATTGCATATATCATTAGTCAAGTTACAAGATCATGGTCTATAATTGAGCACTAGCATCACTACCCAATGCAATAATCCCATAGGTGTCAAGGTACGGTACAAAACTAGGAAATCCTTAATGGTAAATCAAGGAGGACACATGCAGTATGATTAAAATATGATTAATGTGAATAGGACAATAAGGATGATCCCATGCTATACTTGGCTTGCTCAAAGTACTCCTGCTGGTCCTACTGGTCATCAAAGAATTGGCCTTGCTCACCGTCGTATTGCACACCGTCTATACTCGATCATCAATTCAGCAACACACAAACATTCAGAGCAATCATGCATAACAAACAAGAGTCACAATTACAATAGTACACCAACGGTAGAAAAAACAAGGTGAAAAGTTTATAAAATCATTCTACACGATGCTACGAACACACAAACGCGAGAATCACCGAAATCAGATTTAAAACGTAGAAGGTATGACATTTATAAGCTTCTAATGGTAGAACCGTAATTAAACTGAACTTAATTCGAATTAAAAATAAATCAAAATCAGGATTTTGAACTGAACCAGGGACAGGGGGGCATAAATATAGAAAAAGGAGGGTCTCTTTAACAAAATAGCTAAGAAGGGGTATCTTCTAATCTCGACCATTGGGCCCCTGTTTCGCTTCTCTTATAATCCGTCTTTTTAGCTTATTTTCAAATTTAATGTTGTTTTTCTCTCACAACAAATAAGCGTAATAGTATTTTGGCTTTGTTTTTCAACAAAAGTTTAACGGGCCTTGATCTCGATCTGAACGGATGAAATTCTAGGAGAGAGTATAAGAGAGAGGGTGGTTGTACGTCAGACGAACAGAGAGACGACGCAGACCAGCCATTGCCAAGCGTGAAGCTTCTCGTCGACGAAAGCACGGAACTTGGGCTCGCAGCCACGATTCGTCGGGGGAAAACACGGAACAGAGCGGAGGTCATGGCGAGCTCACCAAGGGAGATTTCTAACGAAGACGGCGAGAGATGGCGAAGGCTCGATGGGGCGGACGACAGGTTCCTGCAATTTTACGGCGAAGGCGTGTGAGCGATAGAAAGCCAACGAAAGCGAAGAACAAGGGTGAGGGCGGCTTCTCAACCTTGATCTGAGCTTTCGGTGATGATGAACGGTTGGCGACAGAGCGATGGGAGCGGCGGCGAACTCGGCGGCGACAAGCTAAGTTAGGTCACTGCGGTGTCACACAAAGCCATATACTCTGCCACATCTCTCTTTAATCCGTACCATCGAAATTTCTCTTTAAGATCCAAATACATCTTAGTACTCCCAGGATGTATAAAATAAGCTGACTCATGAGCTTCATGTAGAATTGCATCTCTAATAGCCTTGATCTCAGGCACTCATAGCATCTTACCAAACCATAAAGTACCATTGTCATCCATACAGAAGCCGGGTGCCTAGCCAATCATTATATTTCCCGCTATCTCCTTTAATTTCTCATCCTTCAA